TATGGTGAAAGGATACAACCCTGATATACACCTTTCTTGCCTTTAAACCATGCAGTACCCCTTGTTCTGTTCGAACGACTACCTCTTGGTCTAAGTACATGCGCCACATGAGCACAACGAAGTGTTCTGGAATTCCCATTCTTAGCAACGTTATACATAATTTGTTATGATTCACACAGTTGAATGCCTTTGCATAGTCAAACACAGGTAAACATCCTTCTGGTAGTCTCTGCTTTCAGCCAAGATCCATCTGACATCAGCAATGATATCCCTGGTTCCATACCCGCTTCTGAATCTGGCTTGAATTTCTGGCAGTTCCCTGTCAATGTTCTGCTGCAACCACTTTTCAAAAATCTTCAGCAAAATTTTACTTAAGTGTGATATTAATGATATTGTTCAATCACTTCTGCATTCTGTTGGATCACCTTTCTTTGGAATGGGTACAAATATGGTAGCTGTCTTCCACATTTCTTGGCGTAGATGATTGAGTGCTTCCACCACTGCATTCGTTTGTTGAAACATCTCAGTTGGTATTCCATCTGTTCCTGGAGCTTTGTTTTTCACCAGTGCCTTCAGTGTAGCTTGGACCTCTTCCTTCATTACCGTCGGTTCTTGATCATATGCTACCTCCTAAAATGGTTGAACATCAACCAAATCTTTTTGGTTCAGTGGCTCAGTGTATTCCTTCCATCTTCTTTTGATGCTTCCTGTGTCACTTAATATTTTTCCCATATCCTTCGATACTGCAACTCGAGGCTTGAATTTTTTCTTCAGTTCTTTCAGCTTAAGAAATGCCAAGCATGTTCTACCCTTTTGGTTTTCTATCTCCAGGTCTTTGCATATTTCATTACAATACTTGACTTTGTCTTCTCAAGCCACCGTTTGTAATCTTCTGTTCAGCTCTTTTACTTCATCATTTCTTCCTTTCACTTTAACTACTCTACATTCAAGAGCAACTTTAAGAGTCTCTTCTGACATCCATTTTGGTCTTTTCTTCCTTTCCTGTCTTTAATGACCTCTTGCTTTTTTCATATATGATGTCCTTCCATAACTCGCCTGGTCTTTGGTCATTAGTGTTCAATGTGTCAAACTATTCTTGAGATGATCTCTAAATTTAGGTGGGATATACTCAAGGTCGTATTTTGGCTCTCGTGGACTTGTTCTAATTTTCTTCAACTTCAACTTGAACTTGCATATGAGCAATTGATTGTCTGTTCTGTAGTCAGCCCCGGGCCTTGTTCTGGCTGATGATATTGAGTTTTTCCATCGTCTCTTTCCACAGATGTAGTCGATTTGATTCCTGTGTATTCCATCTGGTGAGGTCCACATGTATAGATGCCGTTTATGTTGTTGAAAAAAGGTATTTGCAATGAAGAAGTCGTTGGTCTTGCAAAATTCTATCATTAGATCTCTGGCGTCGTTTCTGTCACCAAGGCCATGTTTTCCAACTACCAATCCTTCTTCTTTGTTTCCAATTTTCACATTCTCATCGCCAGTAAGTATCAATGCATCTTGATTGCATGTTTGATCCGTTTCAGACTGCAGAAGTTGGTAGAAATCTTCAGTTTGTTTATCTTTGGCCTTAGTGGCTGGTTCGAAAATTTGAATAATCGTCATATTAACTGGTCTTCCTTGAAGGTGTATGAATATTATCCTATCACTGACAGTGTTGTACTTCAGGATAGATCTTGAAATGTTCTTTCTGACATTAAATGCAATGCCATTCCTCTTGAAGTTGTCATAGTAGACCATATGATTGTTCGATTCAAAATGGCCAATACCAGTCTATCAGCTCACTAATGTCTAGGATATCAATGTTTATGCATTCCGTTTCATCTTTGACAACTTCCAATTTTCCTAGATTCATACTTTGTACATTCCACTTTCCTATTATTAATGGATGTTTGCAGCTATTTTTTCTCATTTTGAGTCATGCCACATCAGCAAATGAAGGTCCCGAGAGCTTGACTTTGTCCACATCATTAAGATCAGCTCTACTTTGAGGAGGCAGCTCTTCCCCAGTTGTATTTTGAGTGCCTTCCAACCTGAGAAGCTCATCTTCTGGCACTATATCAGACAATGTTCTGCTGCTATTCATAAGATTTTCACTGGCCAATTTTTTCAGAATTAGACCACCAGGTCCTTCTTCCTAGTCTGTCTTAGTCTGGAAGCTCAGCTGAAACCTGTCTACCTTGGGTGACCCTGCTGGTATTTGAAATACAGGTGGCAAAGTTTCCAGTATAACAGCAACATGCGAGCCACCACAGTACAACAAACTGACAGATTACAGCCAAGAAAAACTCAACGGGGCAGTTCTACTCTGTCACATGGGGTCACTATGAACTGGAATTGACTTGACAGCACCCAACAACAATGTATCTTGATAATTTTTACAAACTGAACACCCTTGTAAGCAGCACCCAAGTCAAAAAACCAAACATTATTGTTACCCCCTCCAAAACCAAACAGTATCATTACCACTTGTGTCCCCTTCCAGTTATTGCCTATCTCCAAGGGTAATAACTATCCTGACTTCTACCAGCATAGATTAATTTGCTGGGCTTTGTACTTTATGTAAGTGAAATCATATAGGATAGACTCTTCTGTGCTCTGGCTTTTTTTCCCTCAACATTAGCTTTGCAAGATTCATCCATATTTTTATATGTAGTTGCAGTTACAGCCAGAGGTTTTAATTCCTGAAATCTAGTTCAACAAACATTATTCAACTAGGAATTGTGCTGGAGACATAAAGACAAATAAGAGTAAGTCCCTGTTGTAAGGAACATTCAATGAAGTAATCTAGTAATTACAAGAATCTAATACAAAGGAAATTCTTCTTTGTTTAACAAATATTTATTCAGTGCCCACCATGCGATAGGCACTATTATAGGTATAGGGGCTAAGCAATGAACAAGAAGACAAAAATTCCAGCAGAAATCCTCTGGGTTTTTTTTTTTTTTCCACCTGTCATGTGTGGGCAAGTTCTGTTCACTAATACTTGTTCCCCACTCTGTTTTGTCTCTGATTTAACAGAAGAACTAGTGATAGGAACCTATTTCTTCTGACGAGTTGGAGTGTGTGATTATGAAGTCGCTGTTCCAATTATGGGACAGTTTGCAAACCAGTGAGCCTGGGAGGTATTCTTCTGTGCCCATTTCTGCCTTATTCCATCCTCTCTCTCTGGTGGAGGATGAGCAATCTTGTTGTCCTCCAGAACCATAAAGTGAGAAGAGACAATTGCCAAAGTTGTGATTGAAATCATAAACCTTTGAATTTGAATAACTGTGGGGCCCTAATAAGCATCACCATTCACCAGTACGAACTTTTCAGACCCTAGTGAATTACCTGAGTGTAAAGCCATGATGTTGGAGGGACAATCCGTTGCTCTAGAAAAACCTCTGAAACATTCTAGAGCAAAACAATGGTAAATTTTAAATTTTAGAACAATGGTGAACAATAGAAAATTTTAGTGCTGTGCTCTGTTATGTAGGGAGCTAAAGAATTTAAAAGAGAATCTATCCAACACTACCCCAGAACTGATAATTTTCGAAGAAACGCAAAAGATCACCTAGTTTTGTTTGGTTGGTTCATTGTTGGTGGGGTTTTTTTTTTTCCACGTTTATGGAAAATTTTAGGCATATACAAAAATAGAGATGATAGCAAAATACATTCACATGTACCTAATTTTCAGCTTCAAAAATTATCAACTCATGCCCAATTCATCTCTAATCCCCTGTTGCTCGCCCTCTGATTATTTTGAAACAATCCCAGATGTCAAACAAATTTATAAATTTTCAGGAAGTGAGATCTAGTTTTCATCCCCTAATTTAACTGGCTCAGAGAGGTGAAGTCACTGAGCTAGTTAGTAGCTACTGACAGTTATATTTAATCCCTTGATTTCAAAATTAAAATTCACAGAGCTTATTAACAGAATATTGAACTTTACAGAAATGGAATCATACAGTATGTATGAGTTGCAAATTGTCAAATTATGTGAAACATCTAGTCTGGTCCAAGACTACTGTAGCATTTTAGAAAATAGCAACAAGTGAAATATGATGTTCCCTCACAAGATCCTTAAAAAGTAGACTGAAAATCACTTGAATCCATTTTAAATTTGTCATCAGTACATTTAAACCATATTTTCAACTTGAATCAGCACATTTATAGAAATGAATTTTATAAATTAATACTCACTCTAAAAAAACAACAACCATGCTTTGTATTATTTGGCTTAATAACACCTTTTTCAAGCCTCTCATTCAAAAAACTGGCAAGTTCTCCTGAGTCCAACAGGGTATGGAGACTGCTGATTGATGTTCTTTTTCATCAGTAATTTCAAAACCAAATCCCTGTGGATTTCGAAAATGCATATCAATTTGTCCAAAAGCAAGTGTTTTTCCAACTATTTAGCAATAAAATGGGCCTAAGACTTCTCCTAAGCCTCATTGTTTCCCATATCTAACCAGTTCTATTTTCCAAGAAGGGGGTTAGTTGGTGTTCATTGAGCCAGTGCCAATGCCTGGTCTGCTGTGAGCTATCATAGCACAACCAGGCATGGAGCTAAAGTTTTCAAGGTTTTCGGGGCTCAGAACCCCAAAGCACCATTGTTTTGGTCCAGAGTGCTCCAGAGGTTTCTTCAGCAAGCAGAAATGATTCTGAAAGTGTCTTTGTCATGAAAACATTCAGAATTTTGACTTGGCTCCTTCCCCTTGTAATGGATGCCCCAACTGCTTCTCAGAATGGTATCCAGGGCATGTGATAGCCGTGACTGTCAAGAGTGGGATGCAAAGCACCTCCTCAATGAGCTTTTGTTGAGGAGATAATTGGAGGTTAAAAAAAAAAAAAGCTGCAAATATTACCTGCATAAATAACACTGTATAAGGCAGACATCCAGACATTTTTCTGTACACAACCCACTCGTTTCTCTGAGAGATAAAAGCAGCGAAGATTGACAATCTGGCAGTTTAACCATTTTCATTGTGTACTTTTCTGGGCAGGTTATTCACATCGAACTCCTTTGATGTGATCAGTGATGATGCTTTTATTGGTCTTCCACATCTAGAATATTTGTAAGTAAAAAGACTCTTTTTTTATAATCATAATGATTCATGACCAGTGCTTGCTTGTTACTACAGCTGTCTGACAAAAATATTATAACCCATTGCAGATTCATAGAAAACAACAACATCAAGTCAATTTCAAGACATACTTTCCGGGGACTAAAGTCTTTAATTCACCTGTAAGTATAAATGTTGCTATTACTTTTTAAGCTTGCTAGTGGACAATGCAGTTTGATAACCTATGGGTAAGGCATCAACTGTATGGATAGCCATGAAAATTTAAGAATGCCAAATGGTTTCTGTCCTTGTACACCTGCCATCTCTCCCTGTCATCAGTCATCATGTGGTCAGGAAATTAATGTTACTATTAATATTATTAGCCTAAATCAACCACAGTTAAGAAAGTAATCTAATGCAGAAAAATTGTGTGATGCCAATAATTTTTGTTTAATCTACATCATTACTAACTTCATGGACAATTATAAGTTGACTATGTATAGCTTACTTTGATATTTGCTGGGGGTTTTCTTTTCTGTATAAACCTTGACTTTACTACATGAAAACATAGAACCACAGGCAGTATCTACACAATACTTGACCAACTTGTTTATAAATGAAATAATTATTTAATGGATTATTAGAGCTATGTCAGTCGTTCTTAACAGGGGATAATTTTGCCTCCCAGGGGACATCTGGTAATGTCTAGAGATGTTTTTGCTTGTCACAACTGGAGATGTAACTGGCATCTAGTGGTCGAGGCCACGGATGCTTCTAAACATCCTACAATGCACAGGACAATCCCCCACAGCAAAGAAGTACCTGGCCCAAAATGTCATAGTGCCAAGACTGAGAAAACCAGAGCTACATGAACCAAACAATTTGATTCTTCTAGCCTCTTCCCCAATCCCTTACACACATACACACACACACTCACACACACACACACACACATTTTCAAGGAAACTAGAAAAGTGTAAGGGGTAAAGACATTAACATTTATTAAGTCCCTAGTACCATACTGGCCATTATGCTTTACACTCGTTTTAATTTTATCCATTCAACAATCCCGCCAAATAAGCAAAATAATCCCATTTTACAAAGGAGGAAACAGAAGCTTAAAGGGGATATATGACCAGGGAACTGATTAGTTTTGGAATTATAACAACATCAACTCAAAAGATGAATTAGAATGGCTATTTATCCATTCAACAACTATTTCTCAAGTGCCTTATGTATGCCTTATTAATGTTAAAGATGCCAGCGATCTAAGGGTCAGTGCCAATCCATCAACTTTAACTTCTGTTCCCTCTCAGCTACTCATTCCCAGCTCTGTTCTAGACCCTAGGATGTGGCAGGGACATAGCAGACAAAAACGCTTGCCCTCTGGAGCCTACATCTAGTGTATCCTTGTGCTCATCGTGATACCCCCACTAGGCACCGTTTTCTCCAGTTGTTTGGATTTGTACCAAGACGGAGATGATGGCCAGATTAATTTTATAAAATTCTTACAGCTTGCAAGGCTTCTGTATATAGCCATTATAATAAAAACAGCTTTTGCAATGCTGCTCTTCATACCAAGGATATAATGCAATGCAAAAACGGCCATGTATGGAATGAATCATATGTCACTTTATCACAGAGCCAAACGCTGCCAAACTTCATTTTTCAGGCAAAAAGTAAATAAAAGAGACAAATACATAGAAGGATAAATGGAAGTTCATGACCTCAACTTGAAATCTACTTGGTGCACATAAATCCCATTCAACATAGCCTCTGTTCAATTCTCAGCATCGTAAAGGGCTGGAGGAAGTGTGTAACACCTAGTGTCTTCTCTAGGAACTTATGCTTTAAGTCTTGCCATGACTTTGAATTCACTCAGGTGTATCTCTTCTCTGGCCTAAAGGCAAAAAGGAAGGAAAGGAGCAAAAGAAAGAGGGAGGGAGGAAGGAAAGGAGGAAAGGAGAGAGGAGGGAGGGAGGAAAGAAAGACATTAATACAACACCTTAGTGAAGAACATCACCAGTATTTCTTGAGTAGAGCCCATTATGTCCACAAATTAAATGGAAATTTAAATTTTAGTCACAATGAGTCCCCTTTGTTAGAGGTTGGAGCCTATAATAGTGAGAGACTGATCACAGGTGTGTTTAACATCTAGAAATGCTCAAGCTCAAGGGAACACCAAGGCAGCCTTCAAGGAGAGAGGCTTAAGGGTCATACAGACAGTGAAAGGGAAGTCCCACTTCTCTAGCTTGGTGCTGGAGGTGGGAAGGTGTTAGGAGGAAACGGGTTAAATTTGACTGAATGAATATGACCCTTAGTTCTCTTGCATCTTTATCTAATACTTAGTAAGTTAAACCGTATAACATTGCCAATATTAGACTATTTTTAATCTACATAAATAGCAATGCTATATGGTTCATCCTAAATAGTCTCTAGGATGTGCCACACACGTTACAAGGAGAAGCGTTTACCAAGATGAATGAACGAGATCCAGTTCTAACTTAGAGGAGCTCAGTTTACCAAGAGGAATTAGAGAAACAAACATTTCCTTACTGAGTGTCACTGTCCCCAGTTTATGTTCTACTTCCTAATTATGCTGTTCTTTAAGGTGTATTTCTTTCCTTTCTTACTTTTTTTTCTTTCTGCCTTTTAACAAGGGGTGAGGTAGAAAGATTTTGAAACCCAAATGTTTCTCCAATAACTAACTTAGGACCTCAAATCCATTTTCTGTTATTTATCACTTATAAATAAATCTGACATTTAGTTGAGTCATGAATTTCCTTTTAAAATGTCTAGGCTTCGTGGCGTACTTTTCTCCATCTCAGGCCAATTCTTCCCAGTCAAGGGAAAACATTCAAGAAGTGAGGCATTGTCACCTCACCCTCTAACCTGCGTGTACTGCAGGAACAGTTTACAAAGCCTTTTCATATTCTTGACCTCATTAAAGTCTCACAGTGGGGCAGTAGCACTACCCCCACCAATAAATGAGAACACAGAGGTGCACCCTTAATTTAAGTGCTCCCCAACAGTAAGCAGTAAAGCCAGAAGTCTTTGGTCTTTGATGAGAATCTAGTGCCCTTTGCACACATTAGCTCTAGCAAGACCAGAAAGATTTTACTGAGCTGGCTGGGACATGATTTGAGGAGCAAATACAGCTAAGGAAAAAAGAGAAGATCCTGTAGACAGGAGCCTGACCCTCGCTCTTAGTCTGTAAATGCAGATAGTTGGGATTAGACATATACTTTTAGATTGGTCTAACATTAAAGTTGCTCACACTGGCCAGCTGAGCACTTATATAATTCAGTTAGTGCAATGAAGAAGCAATGAACTTATCTCACCTTCTTATATATCTACCTCAGTAGATTTTTCTTCTGAAGACCCCCTCCTCCTAAATTACCTCTCAGAAAAGGGACTGTTCCTTATATTTAAGTTCCTTACAAAGTCCCTTACAAAGCCTGTCAAATCCTGGGACCCTTGCTCAATTAATTTATTTGAAAAAACTGTCCTTATGTTATGTATATTGGTCATCTTTAGTGTTTGGGGTCCTGCAAGTAGTTTATATATTTCATCAAGGTTTGAATTTTTCTGATGAGCATGCATTACTTTTTTATCAGAACAAAAATGAGAATAATAAATTAGTTTATGGCCAATGATGACAAAATCCCTAAACATCATGTATTTATTTCTGCCAATATCCATGAACTTTTTAGTAATGTTTCTCTTGATTGTCATATAGGTGTCACTATGGCTAAGGCCCAGTGGAGACAGGATTATTTGCATATGTGTACAAAAATGTTTGGGGAAAATCATCATCCATCTATCCGTGTTTGTGGAGTTGTCAGCACTGTACCAGACACTGCAGGAGTACAAAAGACGTACATAACAGTCCCCACATTCAGAATGCCCATGTGTCCCCAATTAGTCTAGCAGGATATCATCATTTCAGCTGTGACAATGATATATGCAAAAAAGCCATGTAATGTAGCGGTTAAGAGGTAATCTCTGATACCAGACTGCCTGGGTTCAAAGCTTGGCTTTGCCCCTTAACATCTGTGGAACCTGGGGTGGGTCACTTAACCTCACGTGCCTCAGATTTCTCAACTGTAAAATTGGGGTGATAATAATAGTACCTAGCTCCCAAGGTTGTTATGAGATTAATCAAGTTAATATATGCAAAATGCTTAGAACAGAGCCTAGTTGGTAGTATGTACCATTATATAGGAATAAACTAAAACCCACTGCTTAACCTCTGTTGGCCCTGGATCAGGATTCTGATTTCCGTAGTGTACTCTTATCTGCTTGAAACATTTCATATGAGATTAAAGTAATTGCACTTAAAGCACTGCATGTTCAGGGAGACACAAAGCCAAGCAGAGAGTCTGCATTGCAGGGAGGCTGGGCGCACCCCAGATGGCTGTGGGTGATGCTTTCTTAGCAGCAGAGCCCAGTGGAACTGAAACAAACGTGCTGTCTGAGCCAGTCTGGTCTGCTTTAGAGAGAGGACTTGCCCATGGTTTCCATAGTCACAATCAGAGGTTTTCTCAGGTAAACCATGAAAACACCAAAGTGGAAGGAATGGACATCATTTCTGTTGGAAAGGAATGGCCATCTGTTATTGAGAAGGCTTGACCCTACTCAGCAGTTGCAAAGCAACCAAATGTTCAGTCGCATGAAGAATATGCTGGGTGTTTTAAAGAATTTCTTAGGTAGACTCCGAATTAGGACTTGGAGAATGCTGCTTAGTTGAAGGCATGCTTTAAAGAGCTTCCATGTTGCTTTGGCGGTATCACCACTGCGAAGCTGAGGGGAAGGAGGGCCCTTTGTGAGCAGCGGGCCCACATAATATGGTGGTAGGTCAGCCATGGTAATTCACAGGGCTTTGAGTTTCTCCCTAACTCAGTGTCTTGGCACAAGGGGCCTAAGTGGCACTTGTTCTGCTTTTTTCTTTGTTTAGATTGGTGTGCCTTCTCATGCACTTCTCAGCCACTTTTACTCAGATTGCTCCATTCATTCATTCAAAAACATCTATTGAGGGCTTGCTATGTGTCAGGCACTATTCTAGGCACTTGCAATACAGTGGAAAGAAAAACATCCTTCTAGTACTGACAGCAATATCATCCTAGAAAAAAAAAATTAACATTGATGAAAGTTTTGCTCAAGCCTCTCATCACCCTTTTCTCAATCAGCTCCACTCCACCCCAATCAGATATTCTGGTGTCCTCTCCTGTTCTCAAACTCATTGACTCATAACTATATGGCTTAAAGTATTGCCTCTCCTAGTATCATTTGATTTTTCTTAAAGGCAAAGCCATAAGCCTCTCACAGTAAAGTTTAAAAAGTTGTGACTGAAGAGCAGGAATAAAACTTGAAGATCATTTTGACCAAGTGATTGTTCACTTGATAGAAAAGGAAACAGCCAAAGCTCAGGCTCAGATATCACATTCCCAGCCCATGTCATGTCCATGGTACTCTGCTGCTGAGTTCAGGAAGCCGTAAAGCAAGTCTGACAGGCGAGGGCCAAGGATGTAGCCTGGTGTCCTAAAACCATACCACATAGAAAATCCTTTTCCTGATAACTCTGATGGCTGCCTCTGACTCCTTGGTGCTCTCTCGCATCTCCTTCTGGCCCCACATCCTCCCTATTCTTATTCCTGAAAGCACTCATATTTAATTTTAAAACCCACCACTGATTTGACCCTCGCCCTTGCCAGGATATCGCCGCTATCAGACTTTTGAAGAGGAAGGAGATCCCACTACACTGGTTCAGGGTCACATTCTTTCATGCCATCACACTCTAGAGAAGGAAGAAAGATTAGAGACAGCTTGGGGACAAGCAACATGGCCCTCTGAAATCATTTGATTTCTACATTCATGTGGAAAGCTGGGTCATTCGCTGATTTCTGGGGGGAGGGATGTTCACCAGAAACAGTTAGCATGAGAACTTTAAGACACTTTGTGCCAGAAGATAAATTGAGACACATAACATGGGAATAACTCTGGACTGGAGAAGATGCCAAGAAATCTCTTCATTCAAACACCAGTCAGTAAGCTGAATTATGGAAGCATTCCCTTAAATATTCTTCTTTAGCAGCATTTTTTAGAAACTACAGTATGGGAATAGTCATAACAGTTCATTCATATGGTCAGTTTCCTTAACGTTGTTTCTTGGAGGATAAATGGAAGAAGCCCTTCTTCATTTCTCCTCCTCCTCACAGCTACTTTTTATTGAGTACAGTACAGGTAACAGGCACTGTCCTGGATTATCTCATGGACTCCTTCCAACAATCTAATAAGATAGGTATTACTATATGGCACTTAAGAATGAAAAACTGAGTCTCAGAAAGACACATAACCAAAGTTCCCCACGAGTAAATAGTGGAGCCAGGATTCAAATCCAGCTCAGAATGACGCCAAAACCTTGCTCTTCCTCACAAGACGGAATGTCATTGGGACTGGAACATTCTCTGCCAGTTCTCATTCTTCCGTCCCAAGGTTTATTGAAAGAATTTGCCAGTCTAGTAGTAATTTCTAAAACCCAGAAAAACAAGACAATAAATTTAAAAACGCATCTTAAAAATCTTGAATTTGCTCTTGAAAAATCTCATATTTAGTTAAAGGAGGTAGAATAGAGAGATGACGTTTGAGAGTGTTTTTAAGGGAATTTGAGAGAATTTTAAAGGGCTTTGGAGGCCAACGGCATAGGCTCTTTTGTTTTGTTTTTTTAATTTTGTTTGTGAAATCAGCCCTACAGGAAACTGTGTAAAATGTATATGTACGGTGCAGGTTCAGAATAGAAGATTACCAGCCCCTGGTGCTCTCGCATGATCACACAGCATCAGCACTTTACTATGTCTACGTTTTCTGTAATATACACACATTTCCTTCTCCTGGATACTATCAGGACTATTTTGTACTTGTTAACCTTGGTTAGAATCATTTTAGGGATACGTGGGACAAAAATAGAAAAGAAAGAGAAAAAAAAAATTCCCTTAACAATAGGGCAAGAACTGGAGGAAGGGGAAAGAAGATGTTTAAAGAGGATGGACAGATGGTTATTTGTGAGAAAGCTGTTTTCTCAGGTGGAATGAGCGGAGCTTAGCTGCTCTCTGGAGCAAGCAGAGAGGAGCAAAGGAGGCGAAGGTGCAGCCTGAGTGAGGAGAGAGGCATTTGGAGATGGATGCTGTCAGCCTAGACTGGATGTCTAAGAGTACAAATCTCATATTCTGTTCTAAACAGGACGATCAATGTCCAGGCATCGTTTTTTGTTTGTTTTGGTTTTGGTTTTAATTTACCGTGATATATAAAGTGCCATAAATACCGAGTGGATGTTGAAGCAAAGAGACCAGGAACTGAAAATACAACAATACAATAGCAATAATATCAGTAGTATCTCAGATGGAAAAAAAAGTGCTGCAAGTAATTTAGTGTAGAAAAAGAAGGAAAGGGACTCATAGCCAACGTTTATCATTAAATGCATTTATTTACTTTATGACTACAGTTTACATCACTCTCTCTCATTGTTTTTTTTTTTTTCCAGGAGTCTCGCAAACAACAATCTCCAGACACTCCCAAAAGATATTTTCAAAGGCCTGGATTCCTTAACAAATGTGTAAGAGGAATTAAGAAGTCACTGATTCATTACTTAATTTGGTATAACTAACAAGAGGACCTGGCATCGACTATTAGAATTTTAAATTGGTTTGTGGTAATTGGATTGACTTTTGGGTTTTCTATGGTATTTGCTATTGGAAATTCTGAATATATAGTATGCAGGCATTTCTTTGCCAAAGCGTGTGACTGTTTGGGAGTGAGTGATAATAAAGGACTTGAGAGGGTGCAAAAGGGAGGCCTGGATAGACATTTCAAGATCCTTTTTCCTTTTTTTCTCATGAGGTCAAGGAAATGGGGTTACAAAGGAAAAACATAAAGGAGTCTGGGAAACTGACATAGCAAAGATGAAAGGTTACACCCATGGGTTGGTCAGTCAACAGAGAAATGGAGCAGGAAGTGGGGGAAGGGAGGAAAGTTTGCCTTTTTTTCTCACTAGAATGAACAACTCCAGGCTTAATCCCCGGGAATTTGGCTTAAGCCCCAGGAAGGGAATGAACTTAATTATTTTTGACCCTTTTTCAAACAAAAGAGCTTTCAAACTTTGACTTTTAAGACTCAGAATGAAAGATCTTTGCAAGGAATTTGTATATTTTGCTGTAAGCAAAGCAAGTAATATATGCTGAAAAGCAATTTCCCTTCATTAAGTGCCCTCCAGAAAACCAGAAGGGTATTTAAATGTCATAAGGTAGAATACAGGAATAAATGAAAGGATATATGAAAGCAAAAGATTTCTTGTTATTCCGCTACTTTGCTATACAATATAAACTCAAAACAACTTTTCTTTAATAACAACAAAAAAAAAAACTGAGTCAAGTAATTTCTTCTAAACTCAGTATTTAACTTCATATCACTAAGCTAATGAAAAACTTTCTTTGTTCCTTGCAGTATTTCCCTCACCCCTCCCCCATCCATCACCCCAATTCCTACATAATGGTTTATTTCTAAGAGAGTGCCAGGATCAGGACACTTCCAAGAGAGTCCTGGACAGATCACGAAAGGTTGGCACTCGTTATTCTAGTTGAGAGTATTCTTGGGGGATGAAATCAGTTCTGCGAATGTTCTGAAGTTAGATGCTACTCCATGGTGGACTTGAGGATGCAGCTCATCGGGGACCATCTGGCCTATCCCTGTGTCAGCCTGTACTCCATGCTAGGGAAAAAAAAAAAACATTTGAAATTGACTCAGTCTCCCCAGGGAGTCCCGTAACGGGTTTGGCCTCTTAGGCCTAGTCTGATGTGCCCAAATGAAAAATTATTTTAGAAGGACAAGCATCAAGTCAACTTGCATTTTAGTGGATTTTTTTGTTGTTGTTGTTATTTTCTTCAACGTGTATAGCCCCTAAAAGTTTTTTAAATGCTTGGACATTTAAAAAAGTATCTACATGCAGTGTGAAGAGTAGGCAGTATCTGTCTTAGGAATTCTGTGTGATCAAGGAAGATTTTAAGAAGGAGAGTTATAACTCCTAAACATTTAACAACGCAAATAAACAGCTTGCTGAGTTGAGGTCATATATGGAAATTTAAACTATACTGTATAGTTTATTACAGGCATGAGGTATTGTATGTCTGGGTTAACTCTGCTGTGTCAAAGTCACTTCCTATTAAATTGAATTTGTAGCCCATGGAATAGGATCAGGATTAATTATGTCTGTGAGGAAGAAGGAAAGCAAATAGCTCACTCGATTTAATTGAATATGATACATTCTCTCCTATAGATCTGTTCTGTCTAATACGGTAGCCACTAGACACATATGGTTACTGAGCACTTCAAATGTAGCTAGTGCAACTGGGGAACTGAATTTTACATTTAATTTAATTTTTTTTCTTTGTTTAATGTTGTAGTTCAAATGAAGTTTATATTTCAAGTTAGTCTCCCATACAAAAATTTATACATGCATTGTTATGTGACCCTAATTGCTCTCCCCGTACTGTGACAGCACACTCCTGATTTCCACCCCTGATTCCCCATGTCCATTCAATCAGCTCCTAACCCTCTCTGCCTTCCCATCTCACCTCCAGACAGAAGCTGCCCGTTTAGTCTCTTGTACCTACTTGAGCTAAGAGGCACGCTCTTCACGAATATAACTTTATATCCCACAGTCCAGTCCAATCCCTGTCTGAAGAGTTGGCCTCAGAAATTATTTTAGTTCTGGGCTGATAGAGAATCCAGGGGCCATGCTTTCCATGGGTCCTCCAGTCTCAGTCAGACCGTTAAGTCTGGTATTCTTACTAGAATTTGAGTTCTGCACCCCACCTTTCTCCTGCTCCATCAGGGACTCTCTGTTGTCAGGGTGGTCACTGGTGGTAGCTGGGCACCATCTACTTCTTCTGGTCTCAGGCTGATGAAGTCTCTGGTTTATGTTGCCCTTTCTGTCTCTTGGGCTAATACTTTCCTTGCGTCTTTGGTGTTCTTCATTCTCCTTTACTCCAGGTGGTTGGGACAAACTGATGCATCTTAGATGGCTGCTTGCAAGCTTTTAAGACCCCAGACGCCACTCACCAAAGTAGGATGCATAACATTTTCTTAATAAGCCTTCTTATGCCAATTGACCTAGATGTCCACTGAAAGCATGGTCCCCAGACCTCTACCCCTGCTACTCTGTCCCTCAAAGTGTTTGATTGTATTCAGAAAACTTCTTAGCTTTGGTTTAGTTCAGTTGTACTGACTTCCCCTGTAGTGTGTGCTGTCCTTCCCTTCACCTAAGATAATTCTTATGTACTATCTAGTTAGTAAATAACCTTCACCCTCCCTCCCCACCCTCGTAACCATCAAAGAATGTTTTCTTCCGTGTTTAAACCTTTTCTTGAGTTCTTATAATAGTGGTCTCATACGATATTTGCCCTTCTGTGACTGACTAAATTCACTCAGCATAATGACCTCCATATTCCTCCATGTTATAATCTGTTTCACAGCTTCATCGTTGTTCCTTATCGTTGAGTAGTATTCCATTGTGTGGATATACCATAATTTGTTTATCCATTCGTCCATTGATGGGCACCTAGGTTGTTTCCATCTTTTTGCTATTGTGAACAGTGATGCAATGAACATGGGTGTGCATATATCTATTCGTGTGACAGCTCTTATTTCTCTAAGATATATTCCAAGTAGTGGGATAGCTGGATTGTATGGTACTTCTATTTCTAGCTATTAAAGGAAGCGCCAAATCGATTTCCAAAGTGGTTGTACCATTTTACATTCCCACCAGCAGTGTATAAGTGTTCCCGTCTCTCCACAACCTCTCCAGCATTTATTATTTTGTGTTTTTTGGATTAGTGCTAGCCTTGTTGGGGTGAGATGATATCTCATTGTAGTTTTGATCTGTATTCTCTAATGGCTAATGATCGTGAGTTTTTCTTCATGTGTCTTTTAGCCGCCTGAATATCTTCTTTGGTATAGTGCCTGTT